ATATATCATTATGGGAATTTACCTAAATTTTAAAATTTTATTTTATTTTCACTGTTGTTTTATGTGATTTCTTTTAAATTTTAAAAATAAGCCCTACCCAAAATATTTAACTTCATTCTTCCGCACTCCTCCTTTTACAAATTACAAAGAAAAAAAATAGTTAAATGGATAGAAGCATTTCTCATCAACATAGTATCAAATCCCTCGAATAGAAATGATTTGAAATGTGAGTGATGCATTTCTACATTCTGTATGCGTAGAAAAAGAAAGAATCTTTGGTTTGTATGTATTAGAAAACCTGCCATACCGAAAAATATTTTATCTAAGATATTACACAAACTACCATGCACTGGACCTAGCAAGACTTGCCCCCCATAGGTTGGAATTGGATCAGAAGGATCTCCGATGCATGTCCCTCCCATTCTTCAGTGCCCTTTCTCAACCAATTGAATATCATGAGAATTAAATCAAGGATTCCAAAGGAGATATGGTAATAAACACCACAAAAGAAAAATGCCATCAAATGGAAGCAAGATAAATTCTACAATCATGGCAAGGCATGGTATGGTACCTTAAGCCCATTCTGTTCATGAATGGGCTAGGATGCTCTTTTTCTTTGAGTGGTCAGTTTCATGCTTTATGATGTTGAAGCTCAAAAAGGATCAAGCCATGCAGAAGATCCAAGCTCTATATATTGCACTTTTACTTGTGTCCTATCCGTCAAGAAAGGGGGAAATTAGTTCCATCTGTCTTCTAGTGAGTTTGCCTTTTTGACTAGACCTAAACCACTACTCCTCCTGGCTTATCATCAACTTCGTACACATTTTATTCAAAGTTTGAGTCAAAATTGTTATATAAATAATGGGGTTAAATATGCTTTTATTTCTGTTTTTTAATTTATTTATTTATAATTTATGTAATATTTTTTATATTTATGAGGTTTGATATGGTGTTATCATTAAAATTGAAAATAGGTTGAACTTAATTTTAACTCGACTTAATAATGATTGACTTAACTCAAAATTCAACTTAAGTTTAACATTAATCTTATTTTCAAGTAAAACCTGAGTCAGGACAAGCTTGCTAGTAACTCGATTCAACTCGAATCACATGAACTAAGAGTCAAAATTTTTAATTTCATTTGTAAGTCAAGCTGATTCATGAATTAACCTAGTCGAATTATATATAACTCAATTTTGACACATTTATTTATCAAACTTAATTTTTAACTCAAATTTAACTCATTTAACTTATGAACCAAATTTAACAAACTAATTATTGAATAAAGTTTTAAACTATTTTCGAATTGATTCAATTCACAATCATTCTTGTTATTATATTACAATGTTTAATTGAGTCATATAACTTTATTGTAACATAAAAACAATTAAATAACAAATCACTTTTATAAAGAAACTTTAGACAAAATATGATTGTAACTTATGTATACAAGGATAGAGAGAAAGGTGAGGAATTAAATGTTGTAGCTTGTACCAACTACCATAAATAATTTTATACAAAATGTGATTTTATATATTCAACATTTGAATTATCTCCATATGTCACTTTTGTTATTTTTGTTAAATTTTATCAAAATTAAAGAATAATAAAAATAATTAATAAAATAATTTATATTCATATTTATATAGATTTTAAAAGTATAAATTATATTAATTTTGATGTACATAATTGAGACATCAAATAAATTTGAATTAATACAAACTCAATCTACGCCGAAAGAAACTTCCAATATAATATAGTGAGTTTGTATATAAAATTATTCAAATTAAAATTATTAAATGATTTAATAATTTGTGTAAGTTACACTAATGCGAATTTGTGGATTATATTCACGTACTTTCATTTCTTATAATTATTGAAAAGTGTAAATAATTTTAAATAACTTAAAACATAATAAAAATTATTATTTTATTAAATAACATAGTTGAAATCACGCATTTTATCAAAAATAAATTATTTTTTCAAGTTTTTTATTTTTAATAATTTTATATATTTTTTTAATTAAAATGTAATTAATATATAATTGGCTAAAAACCTATTTTGGTCCCTTATAATAATTGTTTGTTTCAATTTAGTCCTTCTTTTATTTTTTGTCTCAATTTGGTCCCTAATAAATTAATTGGTTTCAATGTGAAACTTCCGTCCAAATTATTTAAACGGAGTTAACTATTGGCCACGTGGATGCCACGTAGATGCACACGTGGATGTCACGTGGATGCCCATTTTTTTTTAAAACACCTGGAACCAGAACGGCCTGTTCTGAAACCAGAACGGGCCGTTCTAGGTGCACTCTTG